CATCCCCGGCCCCGCCGGCAGTTGGCCCCGCCCCCGGCCCCTCACCCAGGGCCACCCCGGTCCGACCACTGGTGGGTGTGGCCCCGGTGGGCCACAAAACCCCATTTTTGGGGGTTAGCCCACGGGGTGCGCAGCTCTGGAGCCGGGGCCAGGGGTGCCCACCCCCGGACCCCGCCGGGGCCCAGGGGCCAGGGCTCGACAGCCCTGCTTCATGAAGAGCCTTGGGACGAGTCTAAAGAGGAAGATCTTCATTACCACTTGGATCATCGGGCCAAGCTCAGGTAAGGCCAGGCCAAAGGAAGAGTGAAGCAGAGCTACGTCAAGATCCTCATTAACCGTACTAACATATGTGCGATGAGTGATTGTGTTGCACCTGCTTACTATTTTTCTCCACGCGGGATTCGTAAGGTGGTCCTTGGGATGAAGCAGGTGGAACTGCAGAACCCATGCAAGACTAAGGCTGGCAACCAAGCGTCTGTCACTTCCACACATGCGGTTTAAGGTGTGCGCACTACCTTCGATGCAGATTGCACCATAATGCATGCTTTCAACTACTACATGATTGAAGAGTGTCCTTGTGAAGCAGTCATGGGCTTCGGTTGCCTTCAGGCCCAATGCTAACGAATAATTTGGAAGGACCCACGCTTCATGGTACTTCATGCCGTTCACGGTATGGGGAACAATCATTCTGCCCTCATAGATCAAAGGCGTGAGCCCCCAATGACTTTTTCTGAATGCATGCAATTCTACAAAATCACAGCCTGAAAAACATGTTGTTTTCTGAGTTTTGCCGTTGGACTGAGTTACTTGCTGAGATTGCCGCATTGTGCTGAGATTTCTAAGTACGTGTGTGTATGTGTGATTGCTAAGATTTTGTGAGCTTGATTGACTGCATGATTGCTTGGGTGTGCATGTGACCCATCGGGGTAATTGTGCATTGAAACGGCCAATGGGTCCAGTACTTACCTGTGCCCGTGTTGTTGAGTGGGTGCAGCATGAAAATTAGAGTAGGCTAGGCCCACGTAGGTTGAGAAACAATCAAGTAGCACAGGTAGGCCGGAAAAGACAAAAACTTAGTACCTTTGTAGGCTGAAGAAGAATTTAGACATCCGGTAGGCCTAGAGAAAAGGGTAGCGGTCCAGTAAGTCTGAGTCTAGAGCTTACAAGAGGGGAGTATTAGTTCACAATGATGTTCCGCGAAACGTAAGAGGTCCCGGTATCTTCGGGAGGCCACGCGGCTTGGAAGTTACCCCGCAAAGAGGCACTAGTCCAGCACATCTAGAGAGAGAGCGAAGAGACTAACATCATTTGCTTGCATGCAGTTTGGAGGCACGTTGCTAGAGTAACTGCCCAGGCGAAGGGGCCTTGGGTGGACGAGGAAGGCGGCTTGGCCTTCCACCTCGGCGATGATGGAAGGGACCGTGGGGGAAAAAGGAGGAGGAGGAAGACAGTA